TTAAAACACCAGTGACGGTGGCTGCTTTTAGTAAAGTGACTGTTACCCTTGAAATGATAACATTAACTTGGAACTTGATTTTGTCCTTTATTCCACTAGTGCAGAACTCACACCGTACACATTTTGGTAGTTGTTGTTGTTTACTTGTAGTTTAGAATTCTTGTACATTTATGTGCATACGTGTGCGGTCAAACTGTAAACACAAAACAGTTCACAATTAATATTTAGCAATGTTTCACATATCACATTTGCATTACGTATTATCACGTGATACAATACGAATTTCTGGAACAATCTCTCACGTCAGACTTGTGTTAAACTTTGTTTACTAACTAAATGCAACATATTGCATGAATAGTTAAACAAGTAACATAAACAAATGTCTACACAAACAGCAAACAAAAGCGTATAATATTAACCATTTAGGCGCAATGGCGCTAATCGCAAATAGCGATCTATATCTTAAAGGGTTTAAGTTTGAGAAGAGAACTGGGTTTGGCTTGAGTAGATCTGAAAGATGCAGCTTGTATGTAATTGAAAATTGCTAACTCTGCTTGCTGGAGCTCACCAACAGTGATGGTGTCAGAAAGATGCACACTTACTTTCTTGCGTAACAAAGCCTTGAGACGCAACAAGATAGCAGTAGCTCTCTTCAAACGATGCCAACTGGAGTATCGTTCCAGTAGTCTGTCCACTGCATTATTCATTGCATGGTTTGGTGTTATGGTAGCTGCATAGACTTCTTTGCCTCGTTTGATCTCTGCTTCGTCCGGCAAGTCATTTATAATAGGCTGAGCAGGCCAATGTTCCTCATTGTGTCTAAGAAATTGTGGACCTGATACCCATCGTTCACTTGCCAAAAGCTCTCTCATAGTCATCCCTCGAGAAACGTCATCCGCTGGGTTAGAGGCAGAATCAATATGTCTCCACTGGCATGATTCTGAGCGTTCATGTATTTTTGATATACGGTTGGCGACAAATGTCTGGAAACGACAATGCTTGTTTTTAATGTACTGAAGTACAATAGTACTGTCCGTCCAAAAGAAAGTCCTTTCAATTGGAATCTCTAAGTGTCGCTTGATATGCTGATCCAGCTCCGTAGCAACAACTGCTGCTAGTAGCTCCAGTCGTGGTATGCTAACTGGCTTGATTGGAGCAAGTCTGGCCTTTGACATCACCAGCCTGCTGGTGTTGCCAATCCTGATATATGAAACAGCACCGTAAGCCAGTTCCCGAAGCATCGGAAAAGTGATGGAGCTGGGTCAGTAACAAACAACTAGTGAATGTTGGTCTAAGGCATCTTGGAATTGTCAGTGCTGACAACAGAGGCAAGTCGTTCAACCATCTGTGCCATTGTGCTGCTACGTCCACTGGTAACTCCTCATCCCAGTCGACTCTCATGCGGCACAACTCTTGAAAGATTGCTTTAGCTTTGAGCACGAAAGGGCTTGCAAATCCTAAAGGATCATAGATGGAACTGGTAGTGCTCAATACTCCTCTCTTTGTTACAGGCTTATCCACTGACTTGACATCAAATGTGAAGCAATCTCTTTCTACATCCCAAAGAACGCCCAGTGTCCGTTCAAATGGCAAATCCTCTTGGTCAAGGTTTACCTCATGTAACGATTTTGCCCAATCATCAGCTGGGATTGATTTCATCACTTCCTTAGAATTGCTTAACCACTTGGTTAATCTAAAGCCTCCACAGGTGAGCAGTTCCCGGAGTTCGGAAGCAAGTTTAATGGCAGCCTCCTCTGTTGGTACTGACTTAAGGCAATCGTCAACATAGACTGTATACTTGTGAAGCAAAGTTGGGTCCTTCTTTAGCCTCTTTCCTAGAAGGTATAATCGATGCTTGACCATCGTGTGGTTATTGGGCAGTCGTGGTGGATATTCTTTGAACGGGATAGGAAGTGTGTAATGACCTTCCTCTTGGATTGCTTGTTTGTTCCATAGGGCCACAACTTGCTCATCGACTACTGACAGCGAGTCATTGTTCACATGCATTGGATCATCCAATTTCCAAAATCTTTCAACAGCTTGTTGTAGAGAATGGTCAGCTTGTATAAAATTGGC